TCTCTCTCTCTCTCTCTCTCTACACGCCAATTGCAGACCTTTCCTCTGTTTCCACAGTCCACATATTATTTATATATATGTATTGGTGGTTATTGAATATCGCTGTTAGATTACAGATGGCGGGCTCAGCTCAGGTATGGTTTGTTTCCACAGTCTCTTGAGCTAAGCCTTGGAACATGCTCTGTATCTGACTATCTGTTACCCTTATCGAAACAGAGTACGTGGTCTTGCAATGGTGGATTTGGAGGAGAAATGGATGTGATGGATAAATCAAAGCACAATATTGTTATGGTGAAAGTGAAGAAGTGAAAAGGCTAAAGAGAAGTAGGGACTAGGGATAGCAAACCGATTAGATTGGGAGCTCATAAGAATCGGGTAGAATATCAAAAAAATTATATCTATGACCAATTATATTTTGGACTATCTACCGTTATTGATAGATAATAATTTTTCTTTATAATCTCGATCAAATTAAAACAATGAGGGTATTGGAGATTTATAAAAAAAACGAATGGGTGCATTTGAATCAATGACACTGGCCAGGTATTAAAGTTGCATTGAAATGAGAATTGCTAACACGTTTGTTTTAATTGTATTGAAATAGTATAAAACCAACTCAGTCAGACTCCGACAAATTTGATCAAATCAAATCTTTTGGCCGAATTAAAATTCTAAGTCAAAGTGGAGCGATGACTCATCTTCTTATCAACCTTTTACTAGCCATAGTTTGCTTTTGTACTTATGTATCCACTTACACTTCCACAACTCACCAAGGTGTTATAAGAGTGTAAGTGAGCTTATGAGTTCCTTTCCTTTCATTCATATTCACACCAACAATCCCAATAATCCCCACTTGAATGTAGGGTGCTAAGTATTGAAAGCTATGGAAAAAGCCGTGATTCGCAACTAATATTTCATTGTATCGTAATAAGTAACCGTTTTTGCCATCTCTATAGAAAACCAACTTTTTGTAGTCTTCTTAAAGTGGCTCCACTTTACAATCAAATAGGTGGTGTCTAAACATGTATTTCATAAATAAACCATTTGATAATATTGGTATCAGTCTAAGAAATCATTAAAAAAAATCTTCTCATTTAGGTTTACCCTCATTTCTTAAAATTGTTTCATCAAAGATAATAGATTTTGGAACCTCCAATATAATAGTCACACTTACCGTCATGGTGATTTGTTCTTGGCCGCAATCTCATTCCCCTCAATGATTTTCAACTTATTTCTAGTTAGACCTTTTGTTGATTATCCTACAGTTTGTGACATAAATGGTGTCCCTTGTTCTAAATCTTTCAATAATTTCTTGACTGTCACAATTATTCTCATTGGATGAAACTAGTGATTCGGGTCGAATTGAAATATCTTCCACGAAATTTTGAAGCCATTCGACTTCTTTATTTGTATCCTCTGTTTTTAAAATGCTAAATTACACATTTGGTCACTCAAATTATAGAAATATTTCACGTTTGCCACCCCAATTACTTTTCTTTCTTATTCGCCACTAACTTTGCGAATAGTTTGACCGTTAGTCACCGGCCGTTACACTCCGTTAAATTTGTCCTACGTGGCAGTCAACTATAAAGTTTGACCGTCAACTAAATGACGTGGAAATTTAAAAAAATAAAAAAATAATTTAAATTTCCAACTCATCATTCCACTTAGTCCATATAGTTTATAATATTAATTAGGCCTAATACCAGAAAAGGACCTATAGTTTGGACTTTCTGTCACTTGTACCCCTACGTTTATCTTGCGTCATTTATGTCCCAACGTTTAGGGTGTCCATGTCAAGAATGCCCTCCTCCGTTTTGTTGACCGTTATACTTAACGGTCAACCAAACGACGGTCAACATTTTGTTGACTTCGTGCCAATGTGTCTGCCATGTCATCGACACATAAAAAAATTAATTTTAAAAATTAATTAAAAAAATATTTTCACCGCACACCCCATATATTCCTTTCTCTCTTAATTGGTCTCCTCCGAAGCTTGATCTCCTTCGCCGACCAGCTCTTCGGCCGGCGTATTCCAGATCGTTGCTGCTGTTGGCGATGCAGAGGCGAAGAGCGTGACCAGCGACAGTTGTATTTGGCGATGAGGAGATGTACGCGCCGGCGAGATGACCAGATTCAATCGGTCGCTCGTCTAGAAATCGAACCAAAACCCTCCGCCCGCGAACAGGTTCCTCCTCGACGAGATGGGTTTCGCCTCTAAAACCATATCCAAATCCACCTTCCTATGCGACTGGGAGAAATAATTGGTGGCGCTGGAAGGCGATGGCACTTTCGAAGCCCTCAGCGAGCTTCTCATCGACTCCGAGTGCGTCTGTGATTTCCCCGAGTGCCGCCTTGTTAGAGGCCTCAAGCTTGGAGACGAGAAGGTTCTTGGAAATGACTGATTTGATCAATTGATTGTGATTTGTGAGGAGGCAGAGGGAGAAGGTCAAGTGGAGACGGTGGTGGTCGGGAAAGACAGAAAGAATGGGTTCGATGGGAGGAATTGGATTAGTGAAGGCAAGGTCTTGGAGGACGGGAAGGAGCAGAGGGTGCTATCGGCTCCTCGTCTTCTCCCTGCTTCTTCTCTGCTGCTGCTTTATCTATATTTACTTTGCTGTTGTTCTTGATTTTTGGTCAGGGATTGAGATAGACGAAGGAGAATCGACAAATGCGAAAGTAATGAAGAAGGGGTTAGCGGGGTCATCGAGAATGGCGTTGGCGAGCAGCCGGCGCGTGGCAGAGATCAGTGTCGGCGACCTTGAGCTTGGGCTTGGGATTGGAAGCGGCAAGGTGGGAGATTGAGGAAGGTAGGCGGGTTGTGGTAGTGGCGGATGCGCGGCGGAAGAGGGATAGGTCTTCCAGCTCGTCGGAGGCTGAATTGGGGAGGGGCTAATGTGAATGGAGAAGAAAATGAATAAAAATGTTGTCGGAGAAGGCAAATGTGCTGGAGATGGAGATGGATTTTTTGTTTTAATTATATTGTTAATTGAGATAAAATTGAATAAAAATTTAGCTCAAAATTCTACATCAGATGCCATCTCATCGGTCAAACTTTTGACCGTTGACTATTAACAGTCAAAGTTAACGGTGACTAAACTTTGGGACATAATTGACGCAAGATAAACGTAGGGGTACAAGTGACAGAAAGCCTAAACTATAGGCCCTTTTCTGGTATTAGGCCTATTAATTATTTAATAAATAAAAAAGCGCCATGTCCGCCGATCTCAATTCCCGACCCAGCTTGTCCAAAATCAAATCGGGATCACTCTTCGGACTGGCACTCAAGCTCGTCTACCTCTCCATCTTCGTCTTCTACGACCGCCACAACAAGAGCTGCAAGAAGTTCCTCTTGGCCTCCTCGACGAGGTGGTGCTCTTCCGCGTCATCGTCGCCGTTGCCCTCGTCGGCTTCCACAGCCAACACTCCCACAACATCATCGTCAACGTCGCTGTGGTATTCAACACCATTATGTACGCCTCCCCGCTCCCCGTCATGGCCAAGGTGTACAAGACTAAGAGCGTGGAGTTCATGCCGCTCTGGCTCTCCGCGGCCAACTTCGCCAACGATAGCATCTGGAAGGCCTACGTACGCTCTCATTCAAGGGATCGACTAATTCATTGTGGTACGCAAGATTGAAATTATTGTTGCAATTAAACCTTTCGAACATGGATCCACCGCCACCGCCTAGGAGGTTGCTCTCGTGGACACTTCCGGTTTGCCATGCTGCCCTGCCGAGACACAATGCCCAGAGTGATTTGTCCATTTACCGACGGGGAATGGATCGAGCTCCATCGATACGACCCCGTTCTTCTCAGCCGGCGATATATACTCTGTTTTTCTTTTAACAAATTACAAGGGATGAGATCGGTGCACCTGATCCGCTTGGCCAGCTGCAAACCGTATCGGAAGAAGATTCGACCTCCACCCGGTTGACCATGTCAATGAAGGCCAGCTCCGACACCAGCTTCCACTTGCAGGAGATTGGCGTGCTTTTCGATTTTCTCGGCGCCGGCTGACAGCTTAGGATCGTCGGGATCTTGAATTCCGCCAAATTTGGTGGTATTCCTCGTGCTGGAATTGAGAATCTCCTTCTCCACGAGATTATTCTGATCTCAATTATCGTTCATAACTATAAGGTCGTCTTTGGCGCCGTCGCTGCAAGCCCAGGGAGTGTCCCGGAGACTGATCCCGACTATTTGGGGCAAGCTGGGTCGGGAATCGAGATCGGCGGACATGTCGATTTTTTGTTTTTTATTTAATAAATAATTAAAATGATAAATGTAAGTGGAATGATGAGGTGGAAATTGAAACTATTTTTTTATTTTTTAATTTCCACGTTATCTAGTTAACAGTCAAACTTTATCGTTGACTGCCATGTAGGACAAATTTAACAGAGTTTAACGGTTGGTGACTAACGGTGAAACTATTCGTAAAGTTAGTGGCGAATAAGAAAGAAAAGTAATTTGAGTGGCAAACGTGAAAGATTTGTATAATTTGAGTGACCAAACGTACAATTTAGCCGTTTTTAAAAGAAAGAAAAAAACAGAGGCCCTCCTTCCAAAAAGTGTATTCCTGTCCAAATGCAGAAACAATTTAGGCTTAATACACCTGCATAGCCACAAATTTGCACTTTGTGACAATAATAGCCAGATTTTGAAAAATACACAGATATAGCCATTCCGTCTATAACTTTAACGGAACAGTAATAATTGCTGACTGGACTCACTTCTTTTGCTGATGTGGCTATTTTTGATAAAAAAATATGATAGGTGGAAATACTTTCTTATTATAATAATTAATTAATTACATGAAAAAAAAACTAAAAGGGAGATGAAAATCATTAATCCTCACTTTACTCTTCAATCCTCATCTCCTCCGACTCATCCCCTCCGACAACGTACCGCTCCTCCTCAAAACCAATCTACCATGAAATCAATTGCAACTGCCGTCTCTGAGACCCCTCATCCACCCCTTTCTAGACGCCTCTCTTTCTTGCCTTAGTTGTTCCTTTCTCGCCTCTGAGAATCATCACACACAAATCTGCACTGCAGCGACGCCGCCGCTAATCCTCCCGCCGCAACCACCAGCTCCGTCGCGAACCAGAAGTGCGGATCTGGAGATAGGATACCGGATCTAGAAGTCGGAGTGCTTTCAGATGACGCCGGGGAACTCAGCGAACCCTAATACCTCTGTTCAAGCTTCGATTAAGAAATCGGAGAAGAAGGAGAGGAGCGATTTTGGTCCGGAGCTGAAGAAGGACGTCGATTTGTAGACGGAGACCATTCGAATCTGGTCGCCGATGTAGCAGCGGAAGTTTTCCTATGACCCCCACCTCGTCATTATCGCTTTCTTCAACGCCAACGACCTCTCGATGGATGCTTCTCCCACCCCCAATTGTTCGACTTCCTCACGCACACCCCAGACCCCTTCCATAGCCAAAACACAAAACACTTTGATCCGCCTCCGCACCTTGCTCCCATTTGCGTTCATCAAATCCTTCGGCAAGATCAATCGCCAGCTCTAGGCTGGTCGATTTCAGGCTTGTATTTGGCTGGATTCCGTTCGTCGTATCGAAACCCTTGGACAAGTCCTACGCCTTGGAAAGCAGACCGGACGGCACGGCGGAAGGGGTGGGCGATGCGATGGTGAAGTTGAACAGTTGCTCTGTGATTTGCCGCGTCTAAAGGTTAACAGCGGGTGCCTAGCCCGTTAAATCGAAAGAAGAAGCAGAGTAAAGGACCCATCGAATCAGATCGAAGGTCACCGCCGCGAAATCAAAGGCATCATTTGAGAGTCGGATGTGGTGGTTCGAGAGATCTATCAAATTTTTGTTTCCAATCTGTCCCTTTCTTTCCAATTCCTAAACTTTGTTTCCTCCGCTTCTTCTTCTTCTTCTTCTTCCCGCAAGCACCATTGATGAACTGGAAGCTTGCGTTCAGGGGGTCTTGGAGTAGTGACGAGGAGACGACTCAAAACCACACCTGCATCTCAATCTTGCCGGTTCTCTTTCTGCTCGCAATCTTGCCTCAAAACTGGGCTTCTGAGGAGACAACTCAGATGTGAAGAAAGGTGGGTTTGAGCGGAGATTGAGCTCTCTTCGCCGCCAAATCGGAGAGGAAGATGGGACGAATTCTCCCTCATTCTCGAGGCGATTGTTTGGATATGGATCTATAAAACAGAATCGTCGATATTGATTTGGATCTATTGTCGCTCTGATGATTTGGTGAGGTTTCTTGGTCAGAATCAGATTTGTGGGAGATGGGTTCGTGTGGGTTTTGTAGCTTTGGTCTGGCGAGGGGAGAAAGAGGGATAATTGCTCGGTTGGGCGATTTACAAATTCTAGGGTTTGGGAACCACCATTGTAGGGGCAGAGCTCTAAGCTCTTATTTTCCGTCGAAGACGAGCGGAAACAGCGACAGGAGAAGATGAAGAAAGGATGATGGAGAGAGATTTCTGATTCCCCTTTTGTTTTTTTTGTTTTTGTTTTTATGTAATTAACATTTAATAAAAGATGAATTCCATGTGGCAATTGAGAGGCTAGGTGGACATGATGTGGCGGTCAGGTGGCAGCCACATCAGCATAACATTCACCTAACTGATGGAGTCAATAACGCTGTTAAAATATTTGACGGAAATGGCTAAATTAGTCAAACAAGTTTAAAAAGTATGGCTATAATTGTGTATTTTTCAAAATTTGGCTATTATTGTCACAAAGTGTGAATTTTTGGCTATACAAGTGTATTTTGCCAACAATTTATAATGAAGAAAAGAATGAAAAGCATAGCGACGGTTTCAGGCGTCTGGTTTCGTAAATCCGCGAGTCTCCTCTCCATTTTACTACATTATCCCATCTCCATTCCGCCATGGCCATTGCCCAACTGCTTCCTTTCCCCCATCCCTTCTTCTTCCTCCTCCTCTGCTTCTTATAAAAGAAAAGCTCTGTTTCAAACCCCCAGCTCTCACATCCCTCCCTCTCTAAACCGAACAGATTTCTGGGTTCAGGGAAAAGGAACCATCTAGCCTGCCCAGCCAGCCGTTCCTCCAATCTCCCCTTACCATCTGGGCAATCAGGATAAGTTAGTTGAAGAAGAGGTCGAAATTTGGTTGTGGTAGCTAGCTAGCTAGAACTAGGTTCAGTAGAAAAAAAGTAACAATGGGACAGATAGCTACCAAAGGTGGGTATTTTCTTCTTCTTCTTCTTTATTTCATGAGGCTCACATGAATTGCCACTGATTCAGGCAAACCTCTCTCTCTCTCTGTGTTTCTCTGTAACTTCACCTTCCTTCTCCTTCTGGCCATTTCTATTTCTTTTATTACGTCGGTTGGACGATTCTTCAACCCGTTTCCTTTTCCCCTTTTTTCCCCACTCCCCGTTGCTTTCATCACTTCCTTGAACCTGTAGCATTTATTCACTAAGAAGTTCCAAAAGTTGGTTCACAGAGTGGGGAGAGGTGGAGAAGGAGGTTTCTGTGGTTCTCTGTTTCTGGTCCTTTGCCACAAGGTTGAGAAACCTCCAGCTCCCCCAAACTGCTCACGTTTATAAACTAACCAGACCCTTCTGTTTTCTCCATCTATTTCCATCTCCTTCTGTTTCCCTGCCCATTTTCTCTGCGAATCCAGCTCGCTTTACTAAGAATGAAGACTACAGGGGAGATGTCCCCTGCAGCAGCCGGGGTTCCATTCAGCATAGCCAGCCTGCTCTGCAATCCTACCTTTAAACGTGCAGCAGAGAGATCAAACGTGTTCCCGATTCCTCCTCCTAGCAGCCATAATCTCTCCAGTTCATATCACTCCACTCCTCTGCCGCAAAGCAATCAATCCTGCAGTGGTAGTAATAGCAGCAGTGACGCTGGCTCACATTGCGGTTCAATGGAAGCGGAAGGGATTAAGGGAGGTGTTCGTCGTGGCGGGGTGTTTGAGTCGGACAGCTTAATGCTATGGGGGATGACATCTATCTGCGGGAGAAGGCCTGAGATGGAAGATGCAGCGGCTGTTGTTCCAAAGTTCATGACCATCCCGGCTCAGATGCTGGGGAGCCGGGTCGACTTGACTGCGCATTTCTTTGGTGTGTATGATGGACATGGTGGCTCTCAGGTAATCACAACGGAAAAGAAAACCTCCTCTGGTCTTTCTACTGATACCGACTCTGAAAGTGCTTTGTGTTTGCAGGTTGCCGACTACTGCAGGAAGCGAGTACACGAGGCGCTATCGGAGGAGATCAAGGAGCTTGGAGAAGCAGAGGATGGAGAGGATGCGTTGAAGAGAGCCTTCTCCAATTGCTTCCTTAGAGTTGACGCCGAGATCAGTGGTGGTGGTGGTGGTGAAGATGCTGCTGCTGCTGTTGAGGTAGCCCCTGAGACAGTCGGCTCGACAGCCGTAGTAGCCGTGGTTTGCAGAACGCACATCATTGTTGCGAACTGTGGCGACTCCAGAGCTGTGCTTTGCCGCGGCAAAGCAGCCATTCCGTTGTCCGTGGACCACAAAGTACGTTACTGACTGGTCTCTCGATCTCTTTCTTCTTCACATTTCTCTTAGAAAAGTGAGTGAACTGGGCTGACTGGCTGATTTTATTCATGGTTCTTTGTGGTTTGTGGCAGCCTGACAGAGAAGACGAGTATGCACGAATCGAAAGCGCAGGAGGCAAGGTGATCCAATGGAACGGAGCTCGAGTTCTGGGTGTTCTTGCAATGTCGAGGTCCATAGGTGCGTCGCGTCCTCTTGTTACCGATTGTACTGTGTCTCTTTAAGTAGGAAGTTATCTTTCTATCTGGCCTTTTCTCCGGTGAGACGAGAAACTGAATGTTTGAAACCCACGGCGTGGGCATTCAGGCGACAGATACTTGAAGCCATCGATTATCCCAGACCCTGAAGTGAGAATCGTGGAGAGGGCGAAAGAAGATGAGTGCCTAATTTTAGCGAGCGATGGGGTGTGGGATGTGATGACAAACGAGGAAGCGTGCGAGGTTGCGATGAGAACAATTCTGCTGTGGCGCAGAAGAAGAAACAACGGCCAGGCTGGGCATACTCAAGAACGAACGACGATGTCCGACCACTCCGTTGCTGACCCTGCAGCGCAAGCTGCTGCAGAGACTCTGTCCAACCTTGCTCTACAGAGAGGGAGCAAAGACAATATAACCGTCGTCGTGGTGGACCTGAAAGCACAGAGGAAATTCAAGAGGAAGACACAACAAAAACAGCAGCAGCAGTAGTAGTAGTAGTAACAACTAATAACCTGACCTAAACCTTACCGTCTTAGGCCCTTTTTAGCCATTCTACACACAAACAGCAAATGCAACGTTTGCAGCTGCTTCCGTAGAATGACACTCACCGACAGCTCTCGTGTCTAAGCTTTCAGTCTCGTGACTGGTAATGCTTCTGCTTCGGCTGATGTCCTTGTACGATATACAGTAAGATCTGCGACACATACGACATAACAATGCAATTTTTGCCTTCCGGATAAGCAGCAAACCTTTCAATTCTTGGCTTCTTGCATACACAAAATAATCGGTGTAGCCGATTGCTTGACTACCACGCTACTTTAGGGTTAGGACATGGATAAAACACAGTAAGAAGTAGTGGAGAAAACACCTAACAGAGTTGGTAGAACACCATGTACACTACAAACGTGTTAAAAACAAGAGAAACAAAGCCACACACCTTCCACACAAAGTGGTGTGTTTTTTTAATACACTGTTGTTTGTCATACAAGCAAGTTGCGGTACTCTTTTCTCTGGCAACTCAAATTATACAAGGGGGATCCCCTCCCAGTGTAAGAGATAACAACACCTCGCGCTAGTTACACTGCAGAGAAGCAGTTCGTTTTACAGTACACGAATTGTTTTGAGCAATTTGATACTCGAGTTGGTGCTTCTTGACACATTGCTGCTTACCTGCCGCGTTTTGCAGCTGAATACTTCTCAGAACTTACAAAATTTTAACTAGAACACTTCCCTTTAGTTATTTCAGAGTGAGTCTCCATGAGCCGCATCTGGTACGAAGTGGCAAATCTAATCAGTATAAACAACTTTCATCAGCAACCGAATTTAGATGAATTGACTGGTTCACGACTCAAAAGCACAGGGAAACTTTTACATAGTAAGCTGTTAAGCCACTTCTGAAAGTTAAAAAAAAAAAGCTTTGGTAGAAGAGCGTACATCAGTACAGAACCGTGAGCTAGGAGCTGTGCTTTGGTAGAAATCATGCTTAATTAAAAGAATTAGGAAGGAATTCTTTATCTCCTTTTACTTTCAAATCAGAACTTGCCGATTCATCATTTTAGTTCACTGAACGAAAGATAAGTGGAGCTTTTAAACGTGTTTACTTTTCTTAACATTACTCTGTTCTTTTCCTTATCCAATTCATGCGATGTCTTTCCCATGAGCAATACACTCAAATAGAGAGGAAAACCATAAAACATAACTGGAAACAAGTGAAGGAAAGAATATCAACAGATTGAGGCAAGGCTTGTTTGTGCAAAGTTGGCTAAGTACTCCACTTACCAGATACTTAAAAGGTTGCAAGAGGCGAGCCAGCATTCTTGAAGTAAGATGAGAGATCTATATGAAGGTCCTTGTACAAGTTCATAAATGGATGTGACTGACATTGCATAGCAAAGAAAAGAGACACACAGATGTCAAATTTTCTATGAGTTTACACAAACCATATGAACCAATAACAAGAGACAAGGCAAGAGGAGATTTCTTGTACCATAAGTTCAAGTGCTGACAGTCTATATTTTGGGTCTTTTTGAACACTGAAAAATATGCAGCAGGCAAGAATGGTAAGCATAATAGAGCTTAAACAAGTAGAAATTAGTGCCGCCGAAAAGCAGGTACAAGGAAACCATAACAAAAGTAAATATTATTCGAGTAATAAAGCTCAGGAAGAGGATTAAGAAGTTTACGTAAATGAATCAGAAATAGTAATATTGTGAAAATGGCTTATTAAAGCCAAGCAGGTTAGCATTACCATGCAGATATAAATGAGCCAAATTCTGGAGAAAACTGATCAGAAGGCAGATGAGGTGGTGGTTGCTCAACGATTGCTTCCATAAGCTCATATACATTAACCCAGCCTTCCTCTTGCTCTGGGGGTGCATATGGAAATTGACCTGTTGCACATTCCATCAACACTAACCCCAAGCTCCAAATATCACTTTTGTAGTCATATTTTCCTCCACTAATTCTCTCAGGCTGCAACAGGAAGATGCTTATTAGCAATTTACAAGCTGCTGGCCATTGGCCATTGTAGCAAGAACAACTAGAATGACTATCACAAGAAAAATTTGGCCAAAAGTGATTTACTTACAGACATATAGTTGTACGTGCCAACAAAAGTATTTGCCTGTCCTGATGTGCTTTGCATTATTGCACTCACACCAAAGTCAGTGATCTTGACTTCTCCTCTATGATTTATTAACAAATTGGAAGGCTTCATGTCTCTGTGGATAACATGTTTCTCATGATGAAGATACAACAAACCCTTCAGTACCTGAGTTGACAGGGACAGATCTGGAATAAGAAAATTGATAGCGCTAAAAGTATTGAAACCATAGACAACTGGAATTTGAAAGCCATCGAACCTGCTTAGTGATAGCAGCAAGGTATGGTTCAGGAATTGTTCTAACTTTTCTCAGAAAATCTGCTAGGGAACCACCATCCATGTACTCCAAGATAATGGAAACAGCACCGTTATCATAGAAAGATTGATAGCACATAACGACGTGGGGGCATTGTGCTGATTGATTAATTTTAAGTTCCTTAGCAATTGCCTTACGTGCAGACTCCTCGATATTCATTTGTATAACCTACAGATAAGCAGGGACATCAATAGTTAGCTGGAGGGGTAATAAATGGAAACATTTTGGCAAGCACATATAATGAAAAACCAGTCATTTACAAGGTCAAGAGTCATTTAACGACTCCACCTTATTTAAGGGGGTAAAAAACTAACAACTCCTGATAATTACTTAATACAAGGTCCTTAAGTCAGGAGCAATTCAACCACCTTGAGAATTAGTAGACATTCGTAGAAAGAAGATCGATACTCTCTGTACCATCGTCCGCATCACAAATACATATTTTTGTTCAATGCACTACAGGTAGAGGTCAAACGAAATGACAGATGAAAACTTTTATAAAGTTCTACGACAATTAGTAAAGCAAAAAGGGGAACGATTTGCAACTTATGCTATCAATTAAGTTCAAATTTCAAGTGACTTAAAAGCCAGAAAGCGAATATCAACAAGAGCCTAGTTTTTGATTGCTAGCTAGATAATCAGCTGAAGTAGCAATTAGAAAGGCTGAAAGAAGCTTTCCGCAACTTAATGTTGCCAGTAAGTTAAGTTCATAATTAATTTGAAACCACTGTTAACTTACACTTCCCGTTCCACTGCCAGAAGTAAGCTGAAAATAGAAAGGCTGCTATGCAAACAATCAATAGGGAGATACGAACCAACCTTTAATGCGAAGAACTGGCCGGTCCATTTGTGCTGCACCAGCTGAACAATGCCGCCATTTCCCTTTCCGATGACCTTGATGGTGTCTATATCAGCCAGGCTCATCTGGTTGTCGGCGGGCTGAATTGGCGGCGGCTGATGAAAAATCCAGTAAAAGAAGCAAACAATTAGACAAACAGTACCACCGAGACTTTCAACCACTGAATCGGATACCATTTCCACAAAGCAGAAACATATAAGGAAAGATATCAAGCGTGCGTACAGCGTCGGGCTCGGATTGAGAGACGATTCGAACCCCGTCGCGATTGACGAGCAGATCACCGTCCATGAATGTGCCACTTTGTGTTCTGGAAGCAAATCCATCAGCAGAATAAGATCGAGATTCTCCAAGTTCAGAACAGAAATCAAGCAAGCAGAGAGACATATAGATACGGAGAGTGGAGAATTACAGGAACTTGGCGAAGGCGACTTCATCGGGAGGAGGAAGAGAAAGCTTGAGGTTGAGGTTAGGGTTCAAACTCCTCTTGTTCATGGCGGGGGTTGCTTGGCGTCCGTGCCTTCAGGTGCGTGCTTCTCGCCGTGGTTCCGCAAGCAGAGGACAGGAGGCGCCGCCGGAAGTCGGGAGAGCGGTGGAAGGAAGACCGAGGAATATCTTACTGGATTAATGGCGAATTGGATTGATCGAGAGTGGAGTTGAATCACGTCAGAGAGATGGATGGAAGGAGTACAAGACTAGCTCGAGCTTAGGAGGGAAAGAGACAAAAAGAAAAAGGAAAAGTCTAGTCTTCGCTCTCCAATTACTTGCTAAATGCAATTTTTTATATGTTGAGATAGTGACGTACTCGACGTTACTGTTTTTAATCATGTTTGTTTTTCGTTTGGGTCGTGTTCTCACTTCTTTTACTTTTTATTTTATAATCACCTTTATTTCAATAGCATAGCCAATCAAGGATGATCCATAGTCTACATGGACATCATTAGCTAAAGCATCCATAAATCAACAAAAGAAAATGTTTTAAGAAGACTTGGCATTGCGCCTTGAACGACTCCATGCGGGAAAAAGATCCGTATGATCTGTCTTCCTTACGAAATTTTCGTCGCCTCTACTATCTCCTTCTACAAAAAAAAAATCACAGAACACTCACCTTAGATTTATTTATATATCTCTCTTCTTCAATTGCTCAATAAGCACTTCACAATCACTTTCAGCGATCATTATGGGGCGAGACCTCTATTCGTCGCTTCTTCGATTCTCGACCAAATAACCATGGCTTCAGCGTCATGTAGTCTGGAAACTGCCAACTCTTTTCGAGCAAAACCAAACTAAAAAACAACAATTCCATCACTCCTTAAGACTCCAATGCAAGTATTGAGCTTGTAAATTTCCAACAAGGACGAATCAAGGAGTTCAGCGTAGAAGACCTTGCATACGTACCTTCTTGTTTCGAAGGATTCACCTTCAGATAGTCTCGAACCTAGCACATAACATGATTATTTATATTATCCTCCTTCATCTTGATTGTTGAATTGTAATTATCTAATTCCTTCCACAATAGCAATTAATCAATGTCCAGCTACTTATTTTGACCTATCACAATTCCTAATAAGGTTATGTTTGTTATTCAAAGAACCTAAGAGGCTATTTCTAGTCAATCTTCATTTCCAATGGATTCATAAAGCTTAGGACTAGCTTTCCAAGATCATAGCAAGAATAATCAAACATAAGAAACAAAATGATACTAGAAAACAACGGCAATTGTATCAATGCAAAACTCTAGAAACCTAGCATCCCCTTGAGACTCCACAAATTTATCCAAACAATAATGAAATTTAGTTACACATTTAGGGAGAAGAATAATTACAAAGGTGAAGAATAATGGTATTGAAGTTGCCTAGAAATGGATCCTCTACCCTCTCCAATTAATTGAATCTCCATGCTTGAGAATTAGTTTCATATGCTTATCTACTCATGGAACCTCCAAAAGTCGAATATATGATGTCCCCTTCGAATTTCACTCAACTCTCGCCTTTGTACCCATACAAGACTGAGACAGACGATCATAACTTTAAAACTAACGGTCTTGGTCATCAGTTTTCCTCTAACGACTTCAGTTTCCTTTGGAAATAGAGAATGTTGAATTTTGTCCAAAACTGGCGATCAAAGACCATCAATTCCCCCTAGACCTTGATTAGAGACTAGCTCTTTTAGTTTGAGACTTCCAACAATATATCTCCTTTCACCAGGCATTCTAATTCGTTCTTGACTAGTTCCACGCACTCGTGTTCTCCCCTCAACGATCTCATGTCTTGAAAATCACAGAAATAATATTCCAAAAGATATCAAAACTACCAAAATGGTCCTAGAAAAATTGAAATACACCTATGAAATAACACCAAGCAAAAAGTAGTTTGATACCAAAATAGCTAGTGTCACAACGGAAATGAGGAAAATATGGTTAAACATAGAAGATATAAACATTATAAATTGAGTGTCATTAGTCTCATAATTTAGTAGTTTTTTAGCATACTCAATTATCGCTTACTATTCTTGTTGCTCGATTTGCTTTGCAAGTTCAGTAATTCTCCTCATCTCATCCTTGTGACTTGTGTTCATCCTCCTCCCCCTCCACTCCATCTTGTGTCTTCACCATCCTAGTCTCTGGCTCAACTCTAACTACATATTCTTAATCAACGACCACGCATAACCGACGACCGGGTGTAAGCAAACAATAAAAATGATCAAACCACGGGTCTCCTAATTGTACCTTACTTCAGGTTTAGGTTTCGTTATCTAGCCAAACAAGAATAGTGATTAAGAAACTAATCTAGCTACACTAACCTAACCACTACTCGAGCTAATTAAATGTTGTGGAGTTCTCTTAGGTTTGAATCACCCTAGTTCTATCATTTGGATCGATGTTGGGTACTATCATAACTTAATCGATTCACTACCCTACCGTTATGAGATCGACTCACTCAGAATTTACCCGTAACAGCGAAGTGATAGATGGGAAGGTGCTCTATTCAACCTAGGGATTCATATATCGTTATGAGATCGATCGAGTCAACTCCCTTGGGATTACCCGGACGATATACGATAGGAGTGAAATGAAGTGGAATCCAAAATCATGCGATCCATGAAAACATCCATCAAATAGATAAATTCATCAATCAAACATAGGATATGTCACATACATCAACAACAAACCAAAATCTAGAATTAGGTTTCATCAACTAAGAGAAAGAGGTCTAGTTCATAGAGAAGAGGAGAGAGATTATAGAATAGCTTAAGATCTTCATCTTCAAGACTTGAATCCTTCACTTCAAGATCAACCCAAGCCTTCAATTAATCTCCAAGATCACTCTAGAATTCTCTCTCTCTAGAACTCCTCTTTGGTGTTTTGGGTCGAAACCCTAGAGAGATAACCAAGTTCTCCAAAAACCAGTTCTCTTTTCTCTCTCCCTGTTGTTGTCTTTTTATACAGCCCGAGAGCCAATGTCACGGGGGTGACATTAGCAGCCCCGGTCGTGACCTCATCCTAAAACGCAGGTGTTTGCTGCCATTTTGGTCCAATGTCACGGTCAGCTAGAATTTGTCACGGTGACCGTGAAAATTGATTCACCCGTGAGACGTGCAAACCCTTTTGATCCTTGAAATTGTCACACCCTGGGCTCATTTGTCACGGACTAGACGTAGTGACAATTACCCCCAAACTGTGACATTGACCTTTTCTTAGCTTTTTGGCACTTTTCGAACTCCAATTGTCCCGAAACACGTCATCGACCTTCCCACACGTAATAGGACCTGAAAATAATAAAAGAATCACAATCTAGCGTAACATATGTCGAGTGACGATGATTACCAAGTCAAACGATCAATAAATGAAGAGTAAAATATGTGTAATTGTCGATATCGTTAGCCACCATGCTCTAGGTTGCGCCTCTAGCCATAATGGATGGCATAGTACACGTGGTTGATGGCCTCCAACATGTTTGTATATCAAATTCTTACCTCGTTGATTTGTTGGTTGCACGAGATGGGTCGATCGCCTCCACGGCTCACGCCAAAATGGTGGCTTGGCTTGGACTTTCATATGATACAATCTTAATATTTGAGATCATCTTCATATAATATCAACTCTAGATCCAAAATTAGAGTTTTGTGTGTCTAGTAGCCTACTTGATTCAGTGCCACACAAAATCTTTTAGAATAGTTTTTGTTCAGCTTTTGTGCCTAGGATTATGACCTATGAGTGATTCATATAGTGAGTTTGTTTTAGGTGTTTCCTTCTATTAAAATGCATACAAAACTCAAATGAAATTGTGTCGAATTACCAAAACATAACAACAATTTTGTAATACAAACTACTAATAGGAAAGAAAAATAAAACATTTTACAATATGAACACTACCAGTCTACAACACATCATTTATTCTCATTGGCCTGAATTGAATTTCGGGAAGAAGCTCTACCCAATAGTTTGTGTCACTTTCGGTCGCTATTAACATATTGACTATTCGTTATGGTCCAAATCAGACCAAATTCTGTCGCTAACCGCTTGGCCCGTGCGAAATGCACTTCTTAGACCAAATTACTCCCCACAGATGAATTGCAAGAACCAATGAATTCAGGGTAGGGTTTGGATTTGTACAAGCTTTCCCACGATTTTTAAAATCCATGAATCCGTATCCCGTTTGGTGTGTCCCCGTGTGTATATGGACCTTGAAGATCTTTCATAACCTCAAAGCTCTCTCTAGCAACATGTCCCTGTCGATTTGAATGAGAAGCAGACGTCCAAAATCATCTATGGATTCATCAAGTAGTACTGTAGTAGTTTACCTAGAAGAAATACAGACAAGAAATCTTTCACCAAGCCGCCGTTTAAGCGAAATTCATTACAATACCGGTCGCGGTCCATAAAGTCATACAGATACAGAAGAAAGAAACCATCTTTACAATGGAAGCCGATGTATACCCTGTCGCACATTCTAACCCTTGTACTATAAGCTCAAAAGCCATACCTATCCCTGTATACAATACACACATACACTCGAAGGTAGAAAGGAAAACAGTTTCAAGGTCTGCAAGTATGAGACAGACACACTCTGCCAACCCGGTTTCGCGTGGAAACAGCTCTCTCATGTCGATATAGCGACTACTTTACAACCTATTTCATTCCCACTATAGTCAGTTCTGCATCATTATGGGATCACCCTGTTGATGGAGAATTTGGATAGCATCTGTGGTACTCCCGATATTATCTGTCCATACGTCTACAATACAGCGAAACACGCATTATCAGCTACTGTTCTGCTTTCCCATAGATAGTTCAGGAAAGAACAGATTGTACCTTTTGGTTGCCCTGGACCTGGCAGAGTGGCACAGCAAGCAACTTGAAGTTTTTCGGCACGATGAAGTCCAGCCTCTCTGGTAACCTTACTAGGAATAGTTTTGTGCATTGCTACACAACAAGGGTGAAGTAAGAACTGCGTAAGAGAATGCTACTACAAGGAGCTGGAAACAATCACAGTTCAATGAGGGCACTGGTGTTCCACAAGCGACTGACTACCTTGGGTGATTTCGTGGCAGGCGGTAAGTACGGGTACATTAGTGTTTCGAAGTCCGGTCTCCACCACGTACTAAGGTGTTCCCCAACCTGGATTATATAGGAAAATAGATTGCATGACTACCTAGACCCTTCAACAACTTCATAGCATCAAGGGAAATTGAAACCAACAGCTCATTCACCTCCCAATCATTTTCGCTGTCATCGACCAAGAGCTTCCTGCTCAGCTTACGCTTCAAACCGTCGACATCTGCGAAAAGGATCAAACAAAACACACATCCTAGTTCAGAACAAACACCATTTCTGCACACTAGCTGGATCCACCTGTTGGCCCCAACAGAAACCAAAAGACCCACCAGTTTCGCCCGGCCTAAGGCGGCCTCCAGGCAGGCTGAAGAACGAATTCCTCTCTTGCAGCAGCAGCAGATGCGGGTGTTTGAACAACTCCACCTAAAATCAGCTCGGAACAACAACATACAACCCTTCCAAATTCAGTTCAAGAGCTAGTAAGTTACTATAAACCCATCTTCTTTTCGATATCGAATTGTATCAAACTCAGAAAGCATAACAATTAAATCAATCAGCTATAGGTTCCGAATTTGACAATTGTCGGGGCCAAACGAACAGAAACATTTTTTTAAGCCATTTCCAGCCCAATCAAACGTGATCACTAAAATCTCAGCAATCAAGCGGGAACAACCCTAATAACACCACAATCGGAGAAATAGAGATAGAGAATGATCACCAGTATAACAGCTTCGACGCAAGTCCTCAACCCCTGAGCATTGTAGCTACAACGAAAGAAGGAATTAAGCTTTCGTTAGAAATCAAAGCAGACAACAAATTAAGAATTGCAGAGAGACGGAAAAGGGAGAAGGAGAAGGGGGCGAAGTTACTTGGACTTCATCCTGTAGAGGCGATCAGCGAGAGTCTCGTCCTTGAAAGGAAGAGCATCTTTCGATCCGAAGTAGTAGCTACTGAGAGGGTAAATGTCCACCACGGGACTCGTCGCCTGATCTCCGCCGCCGTCGTCGCCGCGGCCGTTGGTTCCAGCAGCAGCCATGTCACTAAAGAATGGCCTCCCCATGAAAAGAAAGCTAAAAAAAAATGGATGCAGTCGGAAGAAGAGTGCGGGAGAAGAAAGGGGCTGTAGGTAGAACGGTGCGAGAGAATGATGGTGAAGAAGGAAGGTAGGAGAAAGTCCGAAGAAGAAGGAATGAAAAAGGCGCGGAGGCGAGGGCACGTGGCGGAGGAGGAGGTTGCCGAACGGGCATACGTGGCTATCGCTGACGCTGTGAGTGGCTCTCTGCGCGAGTGGCGGTTGTCGCCCCCGCCGACCTTTGACGGGAAAAACGGATTTACGGGATTTAAATAAAGCGACCGCGTGGACTGCGGATGGACGAATGGTGACTTGTGAAACGGAGTTGCCGACCTGTTATGGGCTGGACTCGATGGGCCTATAGAATTTTCCAGGGCCTTACAGTTGTGGGCTTGGACTTTCTTGTGAGCGCCCTCGTTCTGCTGATCCTTAACTGTGGGCTCGGGACTCCGACACCTCCTTGGGCTTGACTGTAAATGTAGTGACTATTCTCAATTCTCATAGTTGTTGGGTGTCTGTACCAAAAAGAAAATGTTGGATGTGTGTGCCGAACATTTCTTTGATGTCGCGTGATCGACCCATGTTGTAGTTCATAATTTGTGGTTGCTGTGGTGGTTAGTTGGTCGCGATAGTTAATTGAAATTAGTGGATCGTCAACAGTACCATACGTTGTTGGTATTGACCACTAGTCGTCTCTAACGTCACATCATCATCATCGTTCGTTCACCATTATTGTATCGACGCGCCTCTAATTATATAATATTGTGCACAACTCCATTCCTATATTTTATTTCGTAACAACTAACAAGTCCAACCAAACCGAGTTGGTGGAGGCATCAAAGCTTTTGCCTCTATTGTGTTATAAAATTCGAAATAAATTAAATGGAGAAATGAATGAATTGAATCCTCAATGATTGGAGATTTGGGCGAGAGTCCAACCGAGGAGGGCTCAAGTCTTTGCGCCTCGTGCGTCGTCGTCCCTTTCCCTGCTTCTATAGACTCCCTTTTTGTGTCGTTTTCCATTATTAATCCCCCAAAACGACAATTATATTTCTCTGAGTCAATTCGGTTTCCTGTTTCTTTTTTCTCCACGGAAAGGATTACAGCTGTAAAAGAAATTGAGATGAGATTATGGCAATTTCCATCGGATTCATCTATCTAAATTTTCTGCCTAAATTATACATTTTGTAAGCGAGGTGAGGTGGGCATGTCCATTTTATTTAAATTATATGTAATTTTATTTAAATAATTTAGAAATTTATGATAAACACAATATATTAGCCACAACTATTATGAAGCAGGGAATTATAGTCACAACTATGTAAATTTAACTTATTAGCCACAACTATTGTTGCGGGTCAAAATATGACTAACTGTCCATTACTGTTATTGAATTTTTAAAGGAGAAGGCCACGGCAGCAGCCACGTCAGACTGTTTTTAATTTATAACTTTAAAACATACAATTTTAGTCAGTATTACTGACGAAATTGTTAACAGAAAGTTAACGTTTGGCTAATAATTTGAATTTTCATAGTTGTAACTATAATTCTCCGCTTCATAATAGTTGTGGCTAATATATTGTATTTACCCTTATTTTTATATCATATTTTAGCCATAAGAAAATTGTAATTAGGTGAGAATATTTATTTCTCGAATAACTTAACTTTATTTATCAAGTCATTAGTTTGCTTCTCGAATTTTTTTATGAAATAATTAATTTGCCAAGTATTTTCTTCGTTAAAGTACATGCCTATTAATCTATTTGTTTCCAACTTGCATCTCAAAGTAAACTATCCGACTTGAACCAGATCAGCGAGAAAAGATATATGACTTATGAGTATCAAAATATCTACCGACATGTGCATTGTTATTCCTAAAGAGGGTGGATATTATTTGGGGTATGAAGTCGATTGATTGAACATCAATTATACTAGTAAAATATAATGATGGTAATTTCTACGGTACACTATGACAGAAATTAGGTAATGTTACATTAAAAAAAAAGATGTTATGTGCGTTCTTGAGAGAAAATAAAAAGTTCGTAGATAAGAGTAATTATGATTAGTAAGAACTAAGAAGTCATTCTCCGCTACGCAACAGGTGGGAAGAAAGAAGACAGCGGGACGGGTCAATCTTCTTTCACACAGCTTCATCTCTAAAGAGAGAGAAAAAAAATTCTAACAATGGCCGTCTCCTTTACTTGACATGTAAAACACCTTCCCCTGACCTTCACACCTCTCCCTTCACCTTCAGTATTAATGAACTTCTAATCACCAGAGAAAGACAAGGGCAATCAAGGGCAAGAGTAGGAGGAAAAGGGAAGGAAACCCTTCATAGTCGGTCCTTTTTATTTGGTACCTACCTCCCGCCCGCTGATCTGCCGGCCAGGGCTGACCTCTGCCACCGTAATTTCATCGCAGCCTCCGCAAAACCCAGTTGGGTTCCTGCTCTCCTAAGGTAAGTTATTTACTTTCTTTCTATCCTTCGTCGCGCTTATCATTAAAGATGTTTCCTTTGGATGGTTTGAAAGCCTGTATGTGGGTTTTCGCGGGACTGGATGATGATGGGTTGAAATTGTGTTTCTTTTTTAATGGGTGATTTTGGAGGAATTTTCTTCGTAGCTCGGTTCATAAGCTAGTCAACCCTTGTGGCGTTGTAGTTTAGGAAGGAGTTCGAGTTTCTCATGGGACCCTCTTCGCTGCAATCTTTCTCTTTGGAGCGATGATGAGCTTTTTGCGATTGTGGGCTCAGCCAAAATCTGTTTTTGGATACTTCTGGATTTTGGTTGTCAATTGTAATGGCGAGTAGTATGTGTGCGATGGAGATGGATCATAGCAGCTCCTAAGCTTATGCATCTTTTCTGTGCATGAACTGCTGATGATGTTTAAAGAAGTTGCCAAAAGAAACGATTCTGCAGCTTCCCAATCTATCAACCCGCAGCATTGTATTAGTTCTAATGTGCCCATAATCAGATGGGGAAGTGACCGGAAGGGTGGTTTTTATATACTTAGTTCGAGTTCGCTGAGTTGGATGGAGAAACTTCCCCGTGATTTCTTCAGCAACATTCAATTCCTATGTACTCCCCTTGCTACAATTCACGTTGATCATCTTGAATACTCTATTAAGTGCCAGTAACTGACTGTATGATGGTATGATCCTTGTCGCTGCATCGAGGGTTTAGAGATTGAAGACTGACTCGCTCCTCTTTTGGCAGATTCTTTTTGTGGGTTTCATGCTGGCTGAAGGAAGCTCGTCTGTACCTCTCATGGATAGAAGTAAAGCACATCCCTCTTCCACATTTCACTTCTTTGTTATTGTGTAATTCAATATGTTGATCCAGAGAATGGTCCTGCATAGTCAAATCCAACTTCCTTTCCTGCAACAAAATGCTTGCTTATACAAGGTGAAAGAAATTGTGCAAGAACCTTAGTGAATCCTGATACGAATTACATTAATGGTGATATGGCTTCGGTGAACTGTTTTACCAGGATGATTAGATTGTGCTTCACAATGTTCAGGCTTCAGTTCTTGTTTCATTGGATACATCTACCTCTGGTCCCTTGATACTGAAAATCTCTTCTTGACCCTTGGTTGACACTTATTTGGTGCTGCAGATGCAAGCTTTGAAGAGAAGGAAAGTTTAAGGAAGGGACTTGAGTTGGTGAAACCTGCCATGGATAAACATATGGATCTTCTGAGACCGGCAGCTAGAAACCTTTCAGTATTTAGAGGTATGTTCTTTTGCTCTTAGCTTTCGTTTTTGTTGCTTACAGTTCTGTTGAGAACCGGCTTATCACATTAATTTGAGTTCTTGAAAGGAGTCTGAAATTCACCTCATCTCATTCCCATACATGCCTACTAACCTGCCTTGGGTTTATAATGCAAAGAGGAAGTAGGAACAGAAGGGTTCTGATTCCACGTAGTTGGTGGAAAATCCGGTAAAAATAGGAAAGTAGGGTTTGAGGGGCTGCATCTTCAATCTACGAGCATGACTTCCGTTGAGAATCCACCGAAAGAAAACTAGTCAGAAACTGAGAGTAGGCTCCTTTTATATTGTTACTAGCTCATAATCCAAGAGAACTAAAGCCTCTTCTTGTAATAGAGGGCTTCCCATTTTGAAAAAGAGTACCAAAACAAATGGCCTAACATAACTAACCACGTATTCAAACTGAAACAAGGAAACAAGACCAAATTGGTGAATAAGACTCGGATCACCTCCTCTAGTGAAAACTTCGAGATTATCGTGAACTTTGCACTTCACACATACATGCCATACCTTATGCGCAAATCGATATTTAATATTGGGGTTACCAGAATTCCAATGTGAGACCTATCTTGATCAGAAATGATCTGATATCATTTATTGGCAGAGACTAAAAATAGATCTTATGTCATCCTCCTGTGGAGCTGCCTTTTTGTGTTTTCCTAGGTCAAAGTCATGATTGAATGTGCATGTACCTGACGCTAGTGTCTCCATTTCTTGTATCTCTCACACATGTCTCTGTTGTAAGGCCAAATACTGGTTTCAGAATCCGTTCAGATTGGTTTCCTTTCATATGTTATTTTGGTTGGATAACATTGTTTCCTGCTGGATAGACATCCTATGATCCTAAATAAAACTTGGAAATGATTTTAGGGCAACCGTCGCCACCGCGTGGATTGGAGCAGGAAAAGGGAAAGTACTCGCTGATCAGAGATCCTGAGGATTTCCTAGCAGGGGGTGCATTCGATAAGCCCCTACCTTGCTTTGGTTGTGGAATAGGGTGGTTTTCGTGAGTGTCTCTCTCTCTCCCTCCTCTCTTCCCTGCCCTTAAAACTCTCAACATCTTGCAGCTACTGAATATTATGCTCCTCTTGATTTTGGGGTGCTTCCAGCTTTCTTTCTGGGTTTTTGTTCCCACTCATGTGGTACTATGCCACAATCCTTTACTTCGGAAACTACTACCGCAAAGATCCCAGGGAAAGAGCAGGCCTTGCTGCAGCAGCAATCGCTGTAAGTCGGAACCCTTTCTTACCATGCTTCTAACTGCTCTATTGGTGGGACTGTCAAGTTCTTCAGGTATTGAGCTGAGATGAATCTTCCTCTGTTTTTGGCTTGCAGGCAATGGGTTGCTCTGTTGTATTGGTGCTCATACTAGCTTATTGTCTCTTGTTTTGATCATTCGAGAATTGAGATCACTCCAGGGCAAAATTAAATGTGCAAGAGAAATGCATCAATTAGTTGGTGGATTATTGGAAGACGGCTGTGTTATATAGAGTGTCTAGTTCATACATAGACTTCAATTGTAAAGTATCGATTTCATCACAGAAGTTTATTATTTCGCGCCAGGCAAATTGTTATTTCAACGGGGTTGAATCTTTTGTAAGATTTCGATTGGAAATGAGAATGAAGTCATGATGAATAAAGCTATAAGATTCGAGTAGCAAACCAGAAGTCCTGAGATTCGTCGTAAGACATCACATTCTTAAACAAAATGAAGATATAGAATCTGAGTTGGGTCAGAAGACCAGAAAAAAAGGCTACAGATTTTGTACAAGTAATCTCATTCCAAAATAAAACAAGAATCAGCCGGCAAAACTGTCTGAAACCTCTTGGACTCAATCAATGGATTTGTGAAAAAAGGTACAAGAATATCCCTCCCAAGTACATGTATCACCTTGCCAAATGCCAAGACCCCAGTTTTAGACTCTGGCCACAAGCCTGACGTATTTGCCATCAATTGTGAATCTGGAGTTTGAATTGACCTGTCACACCATTCCAAATACGAAAACTAGCATTAGACTCCAGCCATACAATAATTGAAGTAACATCTAATTGGCAAAGAAATATGGGAGGCAAGAATGAAGTACCTTTTGCTGAAGAATATTGCCAAGTTCGTCTTGATCTACGCCTTTTCCGGATTCCTGGAGCAACTTCTTCACATGTTTCTCCAATTTCTTCAATTTCATAGCTCCATCTGGATTCTGCGACACATGCATCACAATTGCAGTCAAGAACGAGAAAGATAGCGTGGCATGTTACAATGTACACTAGATGCATCAAGGAAAATCACTTTCCATACTTGAATTATGGGAATAATAGTAGTAGTTATATAGTGATACAGTGATCGAAGCTAGATTAAAGAGCAAAAAAGAGAGGGAATCATCAATCAACTAGAGAAACGTTAGGGAAGGTACATACAGATTTCAGGGCTGCCTTGATCAACTTTTTCCACTTGATCTTGTTCTCTGTATGTTCTTCCGGACTGAGAGATTCTAACTTCTTATCAGTTCTCATCTCATTTCGCTTGACTTTCTTTGATTTACCATCTGTTTCACAGGCGTTGACACTTCCAACCTGAACCACATCACTTGGTGTTTCGGCTTTGGAATCACCCTTGCCCATTTTCACACAAACATCACCATTATTATCTAACACGTCTAGTTTTCTTTTCTTTTCTGATGGTAAAACCCCATCCTCCAGCTTTCCATCAGTATTTGCACCATCAGATGTAGGCTTCTCACCCGGCCCATTTTCTGTAACAGTGCAATCAATGGGGATGATCCCTTGTACAACATCTTCAGTCTGTTTAGGTTGCCTGCCAGCATGAAAGGCCCGTGCCTTAGCTCGATGCTTCTTTCCATCAGCATGCAAAAGAAGAGCCTGTTTACTCGTAGCTTGGGTATTACAGAGACTGTAAGACAAAGAAGAACTAGCAAAATGAGATGCTACAACTCGGTAAATAACGGCAAAACATTGGCTTGGGATACTTCTATTTCTCCGTGCAGCATTCAGAACTGTGCTTGGCTAAATAAGTTCATGGCATGAAACTGTTTATTCAGAGCTAAGACACAGGTGCAATGACAAACATGGACACCCATGAATAGGAGATGACCGAGCACACAATACAGATCAATGTTTAAAATGAGATCAAAGAACCCTGTCTTGCCAGGAAAGTGGTAGTTGGTAAAACACCCAAGGGGTTGACTAATGACTAGTAACTATACTGAAAAGAAAGTGGGCTACGAATTCAGTAGGAAGTGCCATCTCCTTGCAGCATTACAAAACAAGCATCCTTGTTCCGCCTGAATAAATTTTGGAGACAAAAGAGCCACAGTCCCACGCATCTATTACAAAAGCGGAATGCTGTCCACTTGGCTTGGAATTCATCTATTTGTTCTCATTCTCACCTTCGTAAATGAATTCCCAGCAAGGTGTGATATTCTAAGCTTTAACTATGACAATCCAGTAATCTGGGATAAACCTAGCATGAATCAAATCTTCGGATTGAATTATCAACCTCATTTGTACATCAGCCCCCCAACAGTCAGAGACAACAATCTATTGCCCAAGGCCTATAGCAAAAGCCAAAACACAATCAACAATGTGATTCGTACGTTATATTGATCTACCATGTGCTAATGCAAACAGCAAATTAGATGAGCTCACCTGCAATACCATGGCGGGCGGAGGGACAAACCAACATTGATATCGACATCAGGCTTTTGCTTTGAATCCTTGGATTTAGGGGTCGCCCCATTAACGGCAGGGTTCCCTTGTCCTTTGGGACCATATTTTTCCTGCAAGCCACCATGTAAAACATCACTAATCTCCCAATCAACCAAATGGAGGCAAGCAGCCATTCAAAAACCGCCGAGCCAGAGTTCATTTTCGCATTCACAACCATAAAAACAATGGGGGCGAAAGAAGCAGGAATATACCGCCTCGCTGATGCACTGCGTGTGGCCCTGGACGGTATCAGGGCTGAAAGTCACCCCACAATCAATGCACGATAGCTGCAACAAGAATAGCCGGCATTATATGATTAATTACAGACCTACAGATTCAGAAATTCCCAATTCTGCGAATCGAAGTTGTGGGCTTTGAAGAGAAAAGCGAAGAACAGGGGTTAGAGGACCTTGGAAGCGGAGCACCTTCGGAAGTGATTAGAGAGCTTGGGCTTCTTCAGTTCCTCGCCGCAGTCATCGCACTGAAACCACACCATTAGGTTGTTTGTTCGATTTTCCTCACTGGTTCACTTCAATTCAGATTAGAGTTTAGAGACGCAACCAGAAAGGAAAGGACTGGCCACTGAAAGTCAGGGAAGGTGAACGAACCAGAGGGTTTAAGGCTTTAAGCTGCTTGCAGGGATTAGGGTTTTGTTCTCCTTTTTCACGGTGATTGTTTTTTTTTTTATAAAGACGTTGTGTAACATCCCGAACCTTTTTCCCCACGAAGATATTGTTCGTTTTGGGCCTCGACCCTCGTGGTTTTCGACTTAGAGTGCAATTCAAGGTGACTTTGCATAAAGTCACACATCATTGTTGTACTTCACCTGAACACATTTAACTTCGGAGTTCTCACAAAAATTCCTTCATTTCATCTCCAAAACGCGACTTGTCAGTTAAGGTCAATTTCCTACTTATGAACTATGGATCTCTCCCATGCTTTGTCGATGTGGGATTGGCCTAAGGTGCTACATACCCCCCCCCCCCCTTGGGACTCAACGTCCTCGGTCGGTTTCCTACTTATGAACCATGAATCTCTCCTGTGCTTTGTCGTCCTCGTTGAGATTTGCATTTGCCCCACCATCGTTTATTGTTTAAGGTGACTTCCCATAAGGTCACTCATCCTTGTTGTACTCCACCCTGAGCATGTTTAACTTCGGAGTTCTCACAAGAGCTTCTTTATTTCACCCCAAAACCCGTTGTTTGTGCCACGTAAGTCCTCCGCCTCGGATGGTCCACTCGCTCCTCCTACTTCCACTGCGCCCTAGCTCCACGTCCGCTACCTGCACGCAAAGGCGCCCACCGAACCCCTTGGCAGGGCTCATTAGCACTCCGACGCCCAAGTCGGAACGATCTTTATAGAGAGAGAAGTGAGATGCAAGTTTTAGAGAGAAGTTGGAACCTGAGTAAATGAGCTCCACCCACTTCACTATTTATACTCGAGGTAGGGTCGACCATTGCCCCCCAAATCCGCCCCACGTCATCACCTCATTACATGCACTGTACCTTACCCCTTTCATGCGCCCCGACACTCTGACACAACCTTTTGCCCCGGAGGCGCATGGCCCTGCCTCTTGTCCCCTCCGTACACTTTTAACCGTTGCCACCCCTTTTGTCGCCATGCGCCCCTCCGTAGGCCTGGCCCCACCAACTGGACCACAGCCTCTAGCCCCCACTTTTGGGCCGGGCCTTCTTCTTGCCCGGCCCACACTTTCAGCCCATCACGACCCCTTGGGCCCCTTATTTGGGCCTCTCCTTATATGCCCCCAACACCCGTCTTGTCAGTTAAGACCGGTTTCCTACTTATGAACCATGGATCTCTCCCGTGCTTTGTCGATGTGCTTTCCTTAAGAAATCTTACGGGTCGGTTGGATCCGGTTTAAGCTGTAGGAAAAGGATCAACCGATCAAGGTTTTTAAACTGGATTATCCGATGGAATCGGGTTGACAAGTGATTTGTGGTTTAATGGTTAGATTAGGTTTAATCAGTTAAACATAATATGTGGAAAAAATTCTAATACCAGATATATATATGCATATATTTGACATATTTTAAAACGATTTTGACTTATATTCATATATTATCAAATTATTTCCTTAAAAGAAATATATATTACAACTGTTTTAGTCAATCCATCTAAATAATAAATGAAACCAAGTAACCAACTGATTTTTAGTCATGTTCTTCCTTTTCAATAAAGTTTAGCGATATTTCCTTGAAAAATGACACCAGATTGATATTCACCTTATATATATATATAAAATACATACACATTAAGTTTCAAATGATTTTCGTGATATAAAAATTTCCATTCATAAAATGCTGTATGCGTATCTTCGTAATAAATTTTCAAGCTCACAAAAAAAAAATCAATTATTTTCATTTAACTAATTTCCGAAATTGTTTCAAACACAAGAACTGGAACTTAAATTTCGGGGAAATAAGAATTATGAACGAATATTCTATTTGTGATAAATTTCAAATATAACTTTGGATTATCAAATTAACAATAACTCCTCCCCGTCATCATCGTCCCCTCTGTTCTCTTCTTTCGAAATTCTTTTTCAATTCTTCCGTCACCGCATCTCCTTCATTCTTCCATACCCGTCATCTTCTTCATAATCCCCTTAAAGCACGACGGCGTCGAATAAATCCTCTTCGTAATGACCGAACCGAGCTCTCCCTGTTTGTATTTGCAGCGCCGGACACCGGCAGATCATGCTCGCCGACGGCGGAGGCAGGGAGGAGAATCGCCCGAACCGATCGAAAATTGCAAGGATATCCCGGTGGATACTTTCGTGCTTCGCTCGTCGCTGTTTCCATGGGGCAGGCCACCGCCGCGAAGCGAAATCGAATTTTTCGCTCAGTTCCGAACGCCGCCGCCGCCGCCTCTTCCGTCGCCAGCTCCTCCCCCTCCATCTTCCAATCTGCGAGAGAATCAATACG